TTTCTCATGATATTCTAAAAGAAAGAAAAAGGGGACATTGGATGTGATTTTTTTTTTTTTTTTTTTTTTTTGCATGTGAACTTAAAGACTAGAAAAGTCTGAAATTTTTTTTTTTTTAAAAACTCTTTCTGGCTGCTTATACACTATGGGACAAGATTGGAATTTTCTTCAGGTCAAGAGAGTGATTAATGGATTTTGACGAATGGAATAAACTTCTTTATTGCGTTCACATACTTTGGAAGTGAGCCGTAGAAAAATGATCTTGCCTTCGCAAAATTCCATCTCCATGCAATGGTTCTTTGTGGTCCGCCTGATGTGATAAGGAAGGGGAAAGAACTCATGAATTCAACAGTAAACGGTTTTCTAATTTTGATCAAATTTCAAGCCAAAGGAATGAAAGTTTTACGATCACTTTCCTTTCCACTATGCTGCAGATATAAACAGCTATTATTATGATGAAGTTACGTGTGCTGGACTAAATCCACCAGAAGTCCACCAATTGCATCTTTCTTACGTTTCTTTCATTACAATTCCTCCCTGCCTATCGGGCTGGTCCAACTTGTTTATCAAAACCTGTTCGCAAACATACATAGGAGCTGCGGAGGTAGAAAATCAATCAGCGTCTGCGGAGGTAGATACTCATGGTTGTAATTCAATAAATTTTTATTACATCGTTGAATAATTTAAACTCTTAAAATTACTTAAGGTCTGATATCTATTTTTACACATTTAATGGTAAATTGATACGTAACAGTATAGTACCCAAAAATCACTAAACTTTGGCTTAATGGCCACCAAAAAGAGGTTAATTCTTTCTTTAGATTATAGGTCGGAGGTTAAACCACGCCCCGTATATTAGGAGATACCAGAACACCCCTTTGGCCTATTAGGTTCTGTTTACCTCCTAACCCCGTGTAAAGCCTCCTTAGGCTCCCCTTCCTGTACAATAGAATAGATTAGATTATAGAAATGTTATAGTTGCAACAAAGAAAAAGTGTATGAGAGTGTTTGGATAGTGTATTATTTGAAATAAGTACTGTAATATTTTTTGTCATGTGATTGAGAAATAAAAAGAAAAGTAAAAAAATTATTATGGTACAGAGCGAAATATTATTATTTGACAAAATTGAGCTATCCAATAGTACCCGAAAAGGTACGGTAAAACTCGGTAGTGTAGAACTCTCCATGCATCCCTCGGAGGATACCTTTTAGAGCCGCGGAAAATTATGCAATTCCCTTATTTTCTCATACGTATATCATATCTTAATTATAATAGTAATTTAAATTTTAAAAAATTTTGGAATTTTACAATCTAATCATCTAAAAAACAATAATAATTTTATCATTCAACGTTGAAATTAGACTACGACACACCAAAAGATCTCCATATTTGTTTGTTTTTCATGTGTGTGATTGTGTGTAAAGGATTTTTTGTTTGCTCACATGATAAGACCTCTTTGGTATAGAAATAAAGAGCTTATGCAGTTACGTCGTGGCTATGAATTAACGTGGGTCTTACAAAAATCTTGAAACAATCAAAGTGATGGTTTTGCAGATAAGTACTAGAATAAATAAACCATTCAAAGCGGGGCCTTTTCTGGACAGCTAAACCACTTAGTCAGCCAACCGTCCTCTGCTGGCTCCTCCTCCAACCTTAAAAAAGAGAGGGGAAAAGAAATTCCAAGTGCAAGTCATTTTTTCCGTAGAGTTTTAAGGAACAGAGACAATTTACGCCTTATCTAATACGAGTTTGGGTGGTTAGTATATTAGTTTCCTGTGAGACCTTCAAAGTTATCGGCTTTTGAGGATTCTCACGGGATTAAGGTTAGTTAAAAATTGTCCAAAAATCTGCTGACTTTGACAAAAAAAAAAAGACATCAACCTAATCACGAGGGGGTATGGGTCTCTTTAGATCTGGCAAGCTCCTTGTGGAGGTTGATATCCCACATCGGAATTGGGGGGGGGGGTTTGGGTGGTTAATATATTAGTCTCCTGTGAGATTTTCAAAAGTTTCCGGCTTTTGAGAGTTCTCACGAGGTTAAGATTAGTTAAAAATTGTCCAAAAGTCTGCTGACTTTGACAAAAAAAAAAATAATACGAGTTTGTTATCAAAAATCTAAGGGAAAAAAAAATACGAGTTTGTTATCAGATTGCTGCTCTAAGAAGGAATCTCCCAAAAGGACCCGCCGTCCTTTTTGTTTCTTTAATTTATCTTTCTGGGGCTCATTGCTTGCTACGTATTATTGTCTCCCAAATAGATTTAATTTATCTTTTTTTTTTCTCCTGTTGATCTTTCTCTTAAAAAAAAAAGTTTATTAGGTACGGATGAGGACACAAACATGACGACTTATGCTGTCGAAGCAAGTTAATCCAGCTAGCTCTAGATCAAGAAAATAGAAATGAGAGATGAAGTAGTGGTTTCATTATCTTGAAACAAGTTTGTAAAGCTGCAAAAGAATTTTTGTCAATTGGTAAATTAAACATGCCCTATTAAATTGGGATGTATGATATAATTGGGATTCCAAATTCTCCATTTATTTTTTTTAATTCAAAATTATCTTTTATTGTTTTACGATTAGTTGATAAGTGAGTTTGTTTAATAATTACTGCATGAATTTTTTTTCCCTTCCTTTAAAGGAACATGGGTGACTATCTTTAGACAAAAAGGGGAGATTGAAGTCCATTGCGAAATATAGAAAATTAAAAAGCTCTAACTTTAGTTCATTTTAAATGAAAAATTGGCTGTAAATTGAACAGTTAAACCATCTCATCATGCTTGGTAAATGCATTTAGAATTTGGGGATAAATAAATAAAAGGCACATGAGAATCAACAGCTGATCCCCCTTGATAATCACTTGAGCCCTTGTCTTCTGGATTACAGGTGAAGCGTTTTATCAATAAGATTACGCTTTGTTAATCACATACACTACAGTTAATTGTCGGAGAAAATTGTTGCTAATTCTTTACTATATGTTTTTTTGTCTAACTTTGTTGGATGGGGACCAAAAGAAAAGGAAAACAGACAGAGACAAAAAAAGGCCGCGGGGACTCTGATTTTCGGGTCATAATGGTGGAGACCGTTTCGTTGGATTTTAGAATGATTCTAATTTGTCTCGTTATTTTTAATAAATACATAAACTTTGTAGTGATTTTCTTACCACACATTCCAAATACAAAGATCTCATTAGTTTCAAAATCAAGACCTTACAAATGATGTTTCGCAAAGAGATAACTGAAATTACAAATACATTTCTGGTCAGAAAATTAAAAAGCGCGAGGGATGGAATAATTAGAAAAGAAGGTGGAATTTTGACTTATTTGTGATGAATATCAAGAAGCTTTAGTATCAAAAACCCCAAAAAAAAAAATCAAGAATCGCTGACGTAATTTGCAAAGGGGGGTGGGAGTGCTTCCTGTAAAAATGCAATAATGCAGTAAAAACTTGTGCCAGAACGACATCAGATCGGGCAAATCATCAGATGGATCACTGCGCTGGTAAAATCAAGTCATTTGCCTTTGGGGTACTTTTTAATCAACCCCACCTTGAAAAGGCAAATTAAGCTCATCCTTCATGATTGTGGTCTTGGCCGATCATAGAAGCACTAATTAATTACTACATGATAAGATATAATCCCTCCCATCATAGTGCTAATCATGTTCTTGGTCAATTTGAACATCTATTTCGATCCCATCGATGAGAACTATCAGTCATAAAAAAAAAAGCATCATGATAATGCGGATTCTTGATGCGGCCAGTTATGCTTTGACACATTATTGTTTTTTTGTCTTTTTCTTTTTTTCAATACTTGTCTTTTCAACTTTTGGCCTTGTACGCTATAAAGTAGACATACCTAAGTCCTTAAACCACGGGTAACTAGGAGCATCTTTGGACCTTGATTTTTTTTTTTTTTTCTGACGGAGTGGGTATCCGGCCTTTAGCCGCGATTAATCTCACTCCGATTCGGGAGAAAAGATCCTATTCCACTCCGAGCACGATAGTAAGGGGGCTCGAATCCTAGTTGCCTAGGTAAGTCTACCATATCTTTTTAGGAAGAGTTGACGCTTCGAGCTAACCCTTGGAGGCACCTTGAGTAATTCAGTTTCATTTTGAAAATGCAAAACAAGTATTTATAGTTTATTCTATGTCAATTGTCATGATATATATACGAGACAAAATTTTAATTATCATTTTAGTTTTGAATTAATCTTCTTTACGTTGATAGTGTTAACCCAATCGATGTAAATGTATACCACGTCATTTCAATCTAAATTTCAAATTCTACAAATCGGTATGCATCCAAATCCATTAATATATGCACTGTCAGTATAAAAAAATATATATATAATTTAGTTTTTCTATAATTCAGTGCTCGCGACGTTGTTGCTTGGATTGTCACTTGTTTGGATGCATTTAATAATTAAACATTCAGAGGAGAAAAACTAAGGTCTTCAAATACTATATATATATATATATATCTGGGTTACCGTGGGTGCTCCATTAATTTAGTGGATCCAGCACAGAAGGCAATTTACTGGGGCGATTCTTTCTTGTGTCAGTTGAGAGATTGAGAGTTAATCACAGAAAACTCGAGTGCCAAGAAGACTAGAAACTAATGGTCTAGCTTAACACGGTTTTCAAATCTAATCCGTGGGTTTTACAATGCCTGCTATATATAGATGGACTGTCTTTAATAGACCAGACCCCTCCTATGCAAGAAAACAAAAGAAAGTTAGTTCATACCTGTAGACTTTTTAGTCATAGCTTCATGCTGCTCGAAACAGCCCTCATCTTTTGGCAACGATATGGATACCATCATAAATCTATGCACTTCTCTCAATGTCTTAAGAACCAAATTGAATCCCTGGATTTTCGTTTTTTCCCTTTCTTTTTAAGCGAACTTTTAAAAAAAAAATTGCAATTTCACCCAATTAGCAGTTGGAAGAAGTCCATACGTTATACTGGAGTATTATTGCAGCTCTTTTCAATTGCATTAATATGATGCCTAAAGATTCTTCCGGTCGCTGTCCTCCTTGGCCGCCAGAAAACGGCATTTCAATCGCTCTGAAGATATATGAGGGCAAGATGGCCCGTACAATTATTTCTGTGACAAAACAGCCACACCGGCTCATGTGATTTCAAGACCGTATGGGCATTCTGGACCACTGACTTCCTTTGTCCATCCCGTTCTGGCTCACAATTACAGGTTCCATGTTAGGAGGTGAAGAAGCATGCTTGCTACTTTACTTCTTCATCACGTTTGATGATCAAGGGGTGAAGCCCTGTGTCTCTTCTGTTTTGATAAGGTTTGAGGAAAAGAAAATAAACTCAAATAGGATCTCAGGAGAATAGGAGATGAGCTATATATATATATATATAATATATATATATATATATAATATTTATATATATATATATATATATATTGCAGTTGCTATACAAATGCACTGTTTCATTGGGACATGGAGATCTCTGCAGATGATGCAACCGAAATATTATTTGGGATAATTGAAGTATTCAAACAAATTCAGTATTATAATCTTAATCCTGTTTAACTTAGAAGGTGAAAATTAAATGACATACACGCAACTAATCACTTAGGATGCGACTAGTTAATTAACTTGGGGTGGGAGAGGCATGGAAAGGGGTGGAGGATTAAAAAGAAAAGAAAAGGAAGGGTATCCTTTTCCTTATGTTACATGTATTCTCTAATTTACATTCACTTTCATCTATTACGTAGTACTGAATTGGGCAATGCGGGAAATCAATAATCATTTGTTACATAAGCACTCGCCATTATGTAATACGAGCTTTGTTTGGATAGGGTATTATTTGAAATATTATTTGGAATAATTACTGTAGTACTTTTTATGATGTGATGTATGTGAGATAAAAAGGTAGTTAAGAATATAAAAACGTGGATTGAAAAATGTGTTTATGATGTAAACGAAATATTATTTAAAATAATAGTGCTATCCAAACACTACCACACTATTTTGATTTTAGTTACCATTATGGAATACTGATTTTACCGTTCGTACGGACTAATTTTGCATTTTTAAGTATTCATTTCTTGACTTTCGATGCAAGTTAACAGTGCCGAATATGCCCCGTCAATAATACTTGAGAAGTTGCCTTTTAAAATGGTAACACTTGGGTCTCTTACTCAACTAGTGCCCTAGGAGCAATTGTTAGACAAATCCTTAAAGTTCTTTTGAATAGTGAATTATGAACAAATAAAATATATGCTTGATTTATTTTTCCTTTTAATACGCTCTCTGTCCCACTTTGATAGGCTTGTTTTCCAGTTTCATCCGTTCCGAATTGTATAGTTTACTTTACAAATGAAGAGTATAGTTAACTTTGAATTTATCTAAAATGCTCTTATTTAATGTAGGTTGTTTTAGAGTATAACCTAAGTTATTTAACGTAGGTTGTTATTGAAAGGTGTGATTTTCTATCAATATTATTGTTGTAATTAATGTAAGGCTAATTATTCATACTTCATTTAATATAAGGTGCGTTTGTATCCCATAGAATTGGGTTTAGAATTGGAATTGGAACCCCAATTCTAATTCTTGTGTTTGGACGCTGCATTTTCCATAGAATCAGCATTGAATTCTAATTCCAAGAGGTTCCAATTCCACAATCTTAATTCTTTGCCGGACCAAAAGAATTCTAATTCCAATTCCACATCTGAATTCCTAATCGGTCGACACGCGGTCTTCTTCTAGTAAAAACTCAAAAATGGGTCAACAATAAAACGGACGGAAAAAACGCAAACCTCTCTCCTTCCCTTTCAATTATCGATGGCCATATCAGAAGCTCTGATGGAGCATTCTTCGTCGCCGCCGCCGCCTCCTCCTCCAATTACGCTGAGATAGAGGCACTTTTGCTGCCGCCTCCACCCCTCCATGCCCCACTCCCTGCCTTTTTCACAACTCAAGTTGAAATTTTGGGGTTCCAATTAGTTTCTATTAGTCTTTTTCCTTCCCCTCTTTGTGAACAAAAGAATTGCTCCGCTACCTGCGGCCATGGCGAATTTTCGGATGCAAAAGTAAATTGCAGTACTAGGGAACAAGTTTTCTTGGATGGAGATGCGTCGCAATCAACTTTTTATTCTGAGAAGACAAATGCTGCTATCCAACTATCTGCAACGGGGAACAAAGAAGCTAGGGTATGATTTATGAGGATTATTACAGTTTCAAGTTAGACGTTTTGAGGGAGGAAGAACTTTTTCCCCTAAAGTACAGTCTATATTTCAACTGTAATCTTCTTCTTCTTTTGCATCTTAAAGGAGTTGTATATTTCTTTCTTTCTCTTACATGTGGAGTTGCAGAAGAAATTTATATTGATGTTTGTACTTCTAAGAATCAAGATTGCTTCTTTGAACTGTAAAATGATCTGCTTACTGCATTTCTTTGGGTACTTGGGCATTTTTTTATTGATTATGAGGCTTTTGGAAAAACCACCTTTGGTTAGAAGTAAACTAATAATACTACTAGTACTATCATTTTATTCATATCTTGATTTTCTATCTCTTGCTTTTAGCTTGATTCCCAATATTAACTAGTAGTACTCCTTAATTGCCTCTGCTTCTGGCGTTTAAACATCTCCTATCCTAGTAATTCCTCAGCCTATCATGGTTAATTACAGGTTAGTGCCATCTTCTAGCATGGAAGTTTCAATTCTTTTAACGGTAATAGAAGCCCTGCAGTTTGTGTAGTGGATGCCTGAACTTTTGTGATCCATAGACTGTTGATTTGATAACTATTAAAACACTGATGAATTTACAGTTCAGATAGTGACCTAGTACCCATTCTGCTCTGCTGTTGGTTGAGGTTGCACATCCTTATCCCACTTCATAGCTATTAGAGCTATCCAGTATAAGTTTCGCCTGAAGAAAATCTGATCCTGCAGGCATTATACTCATCTGTTTAAGTGCCCTGTTTATGGTCTCATCTCATGTAAATTCAATACGTAGACATTGTCACAGTTCTTTGTCTGCTGGTCTTGGAATGGCCATCAAGAAAAGGACAAGGAGCAAACTGGAAAGACAAGAAAAGGAAATTGATAACCATTTTGATTAAGTTATCTAATTACAACTATAAAATCTGTAGTTTGAAGTGCATCTCACAAGAGACAGCCAATTGTATGTGCTGCTGAGAGAGAGGCCATATTCAATTCTTGCCCTTATTCCTGGATTTCAAGTAACTTGCATATGAAATGGAAATACGATAGATGCAAAATCAGATGAGCATAAGCATTAACAAGCGAAACCTCTAGTTTTTTGGCCCACTTGTGCATTATGATTATGCATTAAAATCTACAGCTACTTCTCTGATACATATAACACAAATCCAATTTTCTTCCCTTTGTAATGTCGCTCGCTCTTTCGTTGGAGCAGCACAGCAACTCGTACGTAGGTCTGTTTGGATAGTTTAACTTGAGAAAAAAATTGTGCAAACATTATCCTACTTGCATTTTGGGCAAATTATACTTAACCCCCCTCTAGTTTAGTATTTTATTTGTAGCCTCCTATGGTTTCAAAAGTTATACATAAGGGGCTTTAGGCAGCTTTTGATACCTTCCAAAGAGAAAAGACTTGAGTTTCCTCAAGGTTTTCTGGAAGATATATCTAGTTTTGTGGAGGGATCTTCTCAGCAGCATTTTCTGGTTCTTTTCTTGTTTCGGATAGCTTGTTTATATATCTTTCTTTCTTTCAGCAGTGGGCCATTTTGAGAGATGCATCTTTTTTTGATATTAAGACTCATGTCATGATAATTAATGCATGTGCCATCCTTCATAATCTTATTCGAGTAGAACAACCAAATGACCCTTACTTGGATGAAGTTGATGCTGAGATGCGAAGAGTACAACATGAGGTTGATGATGAAGATGAAATGGAAGATGAAGATGAGGAAAATGGAATGGAAGATGATGGTCCAAATAATGATGGTGGTGTAAATGCTGTTAATGAGAATCGAATTCGAACAGTACAACCAACTAGTGAGTGGACACAATTTAGGAATGCTTTAGCACGAGCAATTTATTGACTATCAAATTAGACAAGGCCATCATGGAAGTTGAAATTTGATAGGAATTTATTCGAACTTAATTTCATATTAGAATGGTCATTTATTGAAAAATAGTAGCAATGTATAATTGTGCTTTTCTTTCTCTTTTTTTTTTTGGCTAAAAACACTTTGTTTGCGTATTCCTCTATTTCTTGTATTCCTATATTGAAATTTCTTGTAAGATACAAAACTCAAATATTTATAATAGGTACAAGTTATGACTTTCCTCCCAATTCATATCATAGAGTAGGCTTTTGATTTTCTAAAATTTAAAGTTCTTAACTTTAAAAACGTATCAAGGTTTTAACTCGATAAATATTAACTACTTTTTAAGTTAGAATATACAATTATTTTTTATTTAATATAATTTAATTTTTTTTTAAAAAAGAATTTTTTATTTTTGCAAAAAAGGAACTAATTTTTTTTCTTTTAAAGCTTTATTAACAATTAGTTAAATGCAAGAAAAAATAAATTATTAAAGGTACTAATTGGTTTTTTCCTTAAAGCTTTAGTAACAATTAGCTAAATGTTAAAAAATTAATATAGTAAAAAAAAGAAATTTTTTATGTAAGGAAATATTAGTTGGAAACAATTCTAATTCCTAATGAATTCTTCTCTCATACAAACAAAGAATTTGGAATTTCAAATAAATTCCGTATCAATTCTATGCATTTCCCAAACGAAAGAATTGAAATGATTTGGAATTTCAATTCATAGAATTCCAATTCTATAGAATTTCAATTCTAATTCAATTCTAATTCTGTAGAACCAAACGTACCCTAAGGGTATTTTAAAAAGATAGTAATTTAGATTTATTATTTCAATAAAATTACTTAATTTTTCTTAAATTGTGTAAAAAAATTGAAACTACCAGAATGAGACGATAGAAGAAGTACATAAATCATATGTAGAAACCAACTCCACAGTAAATGAGTTGGCAGGGTATTTAATTATTAGTCAGTTGACGCATCAAATTGCAGGGTAAGTGTTAGGTTGTAATTGGAAATGCTGTGACAAACAGAAGAACCGTAGAATCAAGCCCAGCAAACATCAAACAAAAGCGAGAAATATATGGCCCATTCAATCCCATTAAGAATATGCCACGGGGGCAAGAAAGTCGTGAACGCCATCATAAACAGTATGTATAGTATAATTTATAGTCATCTAGAGACCAGACGAACCCATACAACGTCTAGGTACTGAATATAATGGAAGTTGTGAGGCGGTGGGGGAGAGGGGGGGGGGGGCCTTTACCAGCCTAAAAGCATAGTTGTCAAAATTGCGATCCGGATAGTAGGATCCTACGATCCTACGATCCGAATAATCAAAATCGATCCGGATCGTATGCAGAGTCGCAAATCATATGAATCTGTGCAGGATCGCATAGAATCGTAGCAGGATCGGTAGGATCGTGTAGGATCGTAGGATCGTACGATCCTACAATTTTTTTGTAAATTTGTGAAATACGAAGCTCCATTTTGCAAATAAATGAAAATATTTGTGGTATATTTGTAATTTATCAAAGAATTGCAACCTTTAATTGCAATTAAGAGCTTTTGGTAGGATCTTATGATTTTACGATCCGATCCGATCCTATGAAACTAAAATCGATCCTACGTAGGATCCCGATTTTACAAACCTTGCCTAAAAGTCATAAAGGGAACAATAGAAAGGGTTGCGGATTCCCGTATGAGAAGTTCCTAAAACATCAAAAACATTTAGGACATTGGCCCTACTCTTGTGGAGAAATGAGCTGTACATGCACATGCACGATGCTGGGGATGAAGCTTTTCTTGAATTGAAGGGTATATACATAACGCAGAACAAAAGAAAGAGTTGCATGTGAGCAATTATTTGCAGAGAACTATAGAGGAATGGACTACTCCTTGCCGAGGGGAACGGGAACCAATGTGGCCATGTTTACATGTGCGTAGGAAGTGTTCTTGTATGGTAATTGGCATTTTGAGATGTGGAAATTAATGCAACCAATCATTTGGCTATTTATGCTTCTGAGTTTCTTTTTTTTTTTTTAAATTTAAAATTTTTTAGAAGGTGATGGGCGTTTTCGAATATGGAAAGATTACAAGAATGATATAGAGAAGGATTTTTTTTTCTTTTTTTTTTTAAATATCTTTCCATCATTTTCTACGCCCTTTTCACTCCTAACTGTCAGACACAAGAATTTAAACTTTGAAGTTGATAGCAAGAGAGGCTGTAATAACTCTCCAGTTGGGATGATATATAAAGATGTGTACGTATCATTCAACATGTAAATATATCAACTTGGAATTGCTTTCCGGGGAACTACTTGTTTCTTTACCCCAATAATTTGGACGATTGAAATGACCATGCCAATGGCGTTCAAAGGATTGGGTTTTTTGCAGCTTTAGAATGTGGTTTGCAAAGGACTGACTGTTTAGGCGTAGGCCCATAATTCTGGGCCACTGAAATGTATAAGGTTATGCACTTTTGATGGACTACTAAGTTTTTTTTTTTTCCTTTTTTTCCCCCTTAATTTCGTGAGAGAGCTTCAAGGTGGGAACTGGGAAGCGCCAAACAGTTGTTAGCTTGTCCTCCATTGAGTGGCTAGATATTGCAAGAAAACTTGACGAAATGTCAAAAAATTTTTTTATGTTTTTCGCTATTTTTCGTAAAAAAATTGCGTTTTCCATAAACACATTTCTCGATTATTTTTTTACCTCATATATATCAAATCTCTACATTGTATTTCTCTACAAATACACTTAAAAACAACAATCCAAACAGGGCCTAAATCAGAGGAAAGCAGCAACTTTTGAAGTTCAGAAGATGCCACCTCATGTAATTGATGGAGAACTTGCATGAAGAAAACAACTTACCGACATGTTATCCGAATTGAACTTCAAAGATCATTCAAGTCTTGCATTTTTTTGTTCATTTTAGCCAGAACTACAATAACCAAAGATGGTTTGATCTCAATCTGGTCCAATCTAGTTTGCCCCAAAAGGGCTGCTCTGATGCTTGGAGACAAATTGTGCCTTCCGGGCTTTTGTGTAGGCATTTTGGGACATCCTAAGCTAATGAAACACAGATCATAGTCTACCATTGCTCAAACAAGATCTTTTGTCAATTAAGGAAAAGGGTTCTTCTATTCGGTGGCCTGAGCTAATGAGGTTTTGTTCTTTCTTAGTTGAGAAAGCTTGAAGTTACTATGCCAAATTGAACCCAATTGGGTCTAAGATCAAACTTTTTATTTTGGGCTTCATCCTTTTTCTTCCCTGCCTGTTTATCTTATACCTTAAAGACACAAAATTTTAAAAATTAGGAAATAAGTTGGTCAAGTGGCCCTAGATTTTTATTTTGTTTTCTGTATCCTAGTGGCGAAAGGAGTTGGTGCTACCAATCCAGTCCATGGTCGATTTCAACTCCAGCCACACAGATTCACTATGTCAATGAAGGAGTGGAAATTAAAATAAGTATGAATTAATTTTCTATATACTGATAGTATATATAATTTTACTATTAGATGCACGATATAATTTAAATTTAAAATTTGTATATATGTCGTGCATCTAATTGTGACAGTGTATATACTGTCAGTGCATATAAGATTTACTGAATAAGTACTAGTAACTATTACGTGCTATTTTCTCCTTGAGTAACACGAGTGTGGATGATCTCCTTTAGCTGCACCAATTGGTGGGCTACTTACCTTGAATGATTCAAGGATTAGTAAGTCAAGATTGTCATTACATTAAGTCTGCGTCCGTGACTATGTGTCTCATCTTATACGTATGATTCCCCTTTTTTCTTCCTCTAAATCTTGCACTGCAATGCTTGTTCACTAATGAATAGATATGTAGCAGATGTGGTTGAGGATTTAATGCAGTTGTACGATTATTGTATATTGTACATAGTTTGGGTACACTTCTCAATCTATAAGCACAACCCTGTACATATACCCCAAAATTATACCAAAAGCTAATTGTATCTATTCCCAATCCCTTAATAGATGAGAATGGTAATCCAACTTAGAGCAACAGCAGCGCGGGTGTAATGGGGGGCCATTACACGGCTCCATGACGTGGTCTCCCATTGGAGTGTCATGGAAATTACACGCATCATTAGAAGGGGGATCCATGATTAAATGTAAAATAATTCTAGCCACAATGGTTACGTCCAATTTTTACTTCAACGGTAAATTTGTCAGCACACAACACATTTTAGCTTTCCAACGGTTATATCCAACGGTTTAGATTTTAGCCTTCTATATAAACACACAACACTTTTTTTGTTTAAAAACATATCCCACTATTCTACTCTATTATTTTTTTTACTCTCTCACACACTTAAAACATATCCAATTTTTTCAATTTAATGAAAGTTAGTACTTTATTTTTTAAAAATAACAACATTATTTTTAAAAATTACTTTATTTATTTATGGGATATGAGTTATGCATTATTAAAATAAATATTTGATTTAATTGTAAACCCATGCTATTACACCTTATGGAGTGTAATCCATTGTGAGTGAAAGTGTAATAAAACAGGAGAAAATGGAATGCTGGCGTAACATGTGGATTATACTCCACAAGGTGTAATAGCATTGTGGATGCTCTGTTTGAAGGCCGCACACTACCATACGCCTTGTAAATTGATTAAAGGCATAATTTCATAAACCCTCCTCAGGTTTACCACAATTACAGGTAGTACTTTTTAGATTTTAAAAATTATGCTTACCTTCCCTCAGTGCTATAAAATGACAAGAACTTCCTTTCTTTAAATAATGAGTCTAACATCACTAAGGCAAGTAATGGACTCTAAATTGAAATTACAAAATAGTAACAAAAATTAGAGAAAACTAGGAAGACACTTTTACTCAAGTTACCTCAAATTCCTTCTTGATCCTACCACCTATTCCGTAACCAAATAGCTCCATAGTCACACACTCCTTCCAACAATTCCATTATTCCTCATTCTCTACCCTAGTCACCAT